TGGGGTGGATTTAGGTGGGAGAGTGAGGCTGGAGGTTTTGGGGGGCTGATTTTCCATGCAGGCCCACTGAACGAGATTGGAGGGTGGGAGGGGGCAGCAAGCACCCCATACTGAACCTTCAGAGGAAGGCTCAGAAGCTGCAGCAGCGGAATTGGCCTGAGGGCACGCTTTTTTTTGCATGGTCAAGGCCAAAGCAGAGGGAACAAATCTGCCTACCATTATCAACCCGAGCCCAAAAAAAAATGATCAGGCGCTGCAGCCACACTAGCGCGGGGTGGGATCTGTTGGGCTATGGCAGGGTGGTGTGGGTGATGGTGGCTGTTGCACGAGGAGCAGCAAGGCGCTCCGCACCAGATGGAATGGCAAAGATGAGGTTGGGCTGAGTGCCATAAGCCATAAGCCCCGCGACCAACTGGTCATACAAAACCTGGGGTGGGAGATGGGATGGGAGATTTGCAAAGAATACCACCAGCGTGGTGTCTGAAGGGAGGCAAGTATGGGTTGTGGGAATGGGGGTATTTTATATAAATTAGAGGAGTTTGTGCTGCCGCTTCAGCATCTGCCTCAGATTGGAACCCAACGTCAAAGTAGCCCTTAAAGGGGCGGAAGTCTATAAAGCCAGCTGGCGCAAAGGCCGCAGTGGCTAGGTCAATAATTGCCTTATCAGCATATGGGAACAAACGCCCATAGTCCACTCTGAGGCAATGGCGAATGGCGGATCGAGGGAGGGCGAGAGGATGGGGGGCGAGAAGGGTGGACGCGCGCCAGGTGGAGCGCTAAGTCCCGTGGGGGGACAAAATGGCTGGAAGCAGTGGGCGGGCTGTTTGAGCCCATCTGAACGCACTTGCCCATGGGGCGGAAAATGCTAGGCGGGGGTGCACCGCTGCCCCACACTGGGGTGGCAGGCGGCGGAGCCAAGGACATCAAAGAATAGGCTTGGGCAGACGGCTGTGGATAAATAAAACTTAAATTTAAAATCGCTCAAAAGTGACTTCAAGCGGTAAAAGAAAATGCGACTTTGCCAATTTTGTTACATCTACTATTTTTGCTAGTCTCCTTGGGTTTGTTTGCCAATGACTTCCAATTAGATTTAATATTCGCTTTCAGCTTGTCAGGCTTAGATTTTTATTTATTTTCTTCCTGAGTCCATTCCTTCTTGGGAGATTTCTTCAGGTTCGCCTTTTGCCATCTTTCCTCCTCGCAGATCGTCCATTCCACTTGGGATGGGCGTGGCTCTGTTGGTACAGGATCTATTCCTTAGTCCATTGTGTAAGATTCAGGGTTTAGATTTATGAATGTCTTGTCATTTGCTTCGGGTTGCTTGGCTGCTTCTTGTTCCCATGCTTCCCTATATGCCAGGTCCAATTCTTGTTGTTGGCGTTTCATGTCCTCTATCTCTGTTAGGTTGCGTGGGATCCATTCTCTGGCTTTTGGGAAGGAGGAAAGTCTTGGTACTGACCTTGGTGACCCCCTGACGGGATCATATTTGTACTCCCAAATTGTTTTACCTTTGCAGTGATGGCATTGAGCCATTGTGTAACTGGTCTGGTAACAGAACTGGCACACTTGTTTGGCATCTTCTTGTTTGACATATACTACCCTGTTTAGGCTGGGCAGGTGGATGAATTGGGGAAAAGCTATTTTGTTCAGTTTCATCTAGGGTGCCAGTTTGTAAAGTGCTTCCACTGTCTGGGGGCAGAGGCACTTTGCGATGTAATCGCCGCTGACTTGCCAAAATTCCTGCACTTCACCATAGTATGACAACCCAGTCTGGATCGCTTTGTGCACCACTCCCATTTGTGGTCAGTCAGGAGGTTCTGGAAGGTTACCCACCTTGCTGTTTGGTTGGCGTATCTGGTCAGCTCCATTCACAGATTAATCCCCTTGTATTTGATGCCAAATTGAGGAGTTTATTGCGGTCCAATTCACCTGGAGTTGCTATATTTATATACCCTCGTTTGGGTACCCAGTGGTAATCGAAGTCCCCTCCTACTAGGACTTCATTGAGTTCCTGATAAATTGACATTATCAGGTCAGACCATTCCTCCTCCTCCACTAGTTGTAGGTGGATCCAGATAGAATCCTTTAGGTACAATTTTGGCGCCTGGTGGTCCATAAAGCCCCTGATGATCAACTGGTGGATGTACTCAAAGTGGCTTCCTGCACCATTCCAGGTGTTGTCGTTGGTATGTGCTGCCACTTCACTGTAGGACTTGGTTTTCGCGCTTGATTTGGGCACTTCAGCAGGGGTCTTCCCCTTCAAAATCCAGCTTACCGATTCATTGAGGCTAAATCCCCAATTGAGAAACACTTTGATGAATGCTGATACCACAGCGACTGATACTTTTAGCCATTTGCGCTCTGATCTTGAGGTTTTTCCATTTGATGGCATCCATCGGTGAGAAACCCAGTCAGTGCCACTTTGGGTGGATTCTGGGCCACACATTAGGTGTAGGTATTTTTGAAGGACCTCTAGCGTAACTGAGCTATGCTGGCACCAGTCCTTTACTGTGACACTGTTCCAGCCCCCATCTGTAAATATTTATTCCATGGCTTCTGGAACTCCCACCTCACTCCATTGGAATGCTTTGGAGGGGGTGAAACCTTTGTCAGTGTATGGAGCAGCTAGCGTTAGTTCTGAGAAGGGTTGCTTTCAATCCAGGATAGTTTCAATGCAGATCCCCACCTTGAGCCATTCTTGGCCCAGGTCTGGGGGTGTGACCCCTTTCATCGACGTTGCCACCTGTGGTAAAATCTTATTTTCCATCCACAGTTGGGCTAACTTTGGGGTGAACCCCACTGCATCCCATTCTGCAGCTTCAGCAATTTTTGCGATGCCACACCATATTTTCCACATTTTGATAGGGAAGGGTTGGCCTTTATGGGTTTTGTGAATCAGTTTTGTCACCCCCAGCTCCGCCCATTCATGCGCTAGGTCAATACTAGCCCCTGCTTGGAACCAGTATTTTATTTCCATTGGTGTGAATCCACTGGTGGACCAGTTGATACCCTCTTCTGCCGACCAATCCCATAATGGTCCTCACTTCACCACTTTTCTTTTGTCCAGCCCGCTTTCATCAGGTCTGATGCAGTGGCTGGTGGGATTTGGGTGTATGACCAGTTTAGGGCCTCGGTGGCCTTGAACCCAGCCATGATCCACAGTAGTGCCTCCTCTGGGGAGAACGTGGTATTATACCATTCCAGTGCTGTGTCTACTGGAATGGTGTGTTGGGCCCATTTGAGGGGCGGTCAAGACATTTGGGAATCATTTCACGTATTCAGCTAATTCTGTTGGGTTGAGGCTCAAGCTCCCAATGGCTTGAGCGGATCATGCTGTAATACCAGCCTTGTTATGCTCCATCACATTTAAAAAGGTCAATGTCAGCATCAATCTAGGCCTTTGCAGTCACCAGTTTTAAATCTTCATGAATTGCAGCCTTGATCACCTTGTTCTCCATGGGGAGTTTCATCCATTTCAGGGCATCTTCAGTCTGAACTCATGATGCCTTGAAGAGTACCGCCATTTTTATTGAGATTTGGATATTGAGCCAGTGTTTGGCTACTCTGGCAGAAAACTTGTGGTCTCACCACATAGCTGCAATGGCTGGTTTGATATTTTTTGAAGACCCATTGAGTTTCCATTGAATATGGGAACTGAAAGGCCTCCCATTGCTTGATTTCGCAAGCAGCCATGCTGTGGCATACTGGCATGTCTATCTGAATAGGGGTGTATTTCACCGAAGCCCTAGTTACCAACTTGACCACTGTCAGGGTTTAAGCCCCTTCCAGTAGCACTTTTAATTTTTTAGCTGAACTTTCCTGGGTGTCCAATCTTTCATATTCAGTCCCTGATATAGCTCACCCCCATTAGGTTTGGTCCCCAATGGTTTGTATTGGTTTGGAAATTAGTTTTGTGCTAATCTAACTCCCTCCGTCAGCTTGAGGTTGTCATGCATTGTTCCTAATGGTCCATTCAGATTTGGATGTTGATTCTTGGTTGAGTTAAGCACATTTTGACATGAATTCATCGGGGATTGTGCCCAATGATGCATCAGAGATCATTCCTGATGATTTTCTCAGGTTGCCAGATCAATTTTGGTCAGGGACTGTTCTCTCCCTGAATGGGCCTTGTCAGAACTGGTGCCCAACTTCTCCTTTACTTGAATACTCTGAACATATTTGGTAAGTTTCTACATATCAGCAGAAAACCTTTTATGTTGTTGCCCTGTTGGTTTGGGTAGCTGATTTTTGTTGATCAAATCTGAGTCATTTTCAGATCCAGCCAATACTTCGTCTGGATTTTTGTCTTTTCCAAAAAATTGTTTTACCCTGTGAGGCCCCAATCCCCTCTACTGTTTGAGGTTTGGTGGGAAATATCCCCAACACTGCTGTTCTCAGCATTGGTCCTCGCTTCCTAAGGGTAACTCCTGTCATCTGGTTGTCAGCAGACACCAATCCTGGGGATTCAGCCCTGTTATCAGTACCTGTCGCAAGGGTTCCATGACCCTGTGATGCGTTCACATGTTTCATTGTCATTCATGCCACCAAATTGTTATTTGATTTGCACGGGTTGTTCAGGCCTTCTCCATAATTAGGCATATGGGGCATAGGCCAGTGGGAAGTCCATCAGATGGTACGTCCATCTTGGCGTCCTTCATTATTATTTAATATTGGTGCAAGAAAACATCCGTTTCTATGTGCTTTGCACAGATGGGTGGATGACTTCCCTACAATTGGGTGGTTGGCCATGGATCACTGCTCTATAGTTGCAGTGTTCACTGGAAGTTGGATGCTCCATCAATTATTGTTCAGTTCACTTTTTGATTTAAAAAGTGAGGCTTTCAAGAGAGAAAAAGTACCAACTACACCACAAAGACTTGTAAGAAATTTCATTAAATTATAGTGCTAACAAAACTCATTCTCTCTTCAGTATGAAATTAAAGTACTTGGTCAGTCCTATATAGCATATGTATTGATGAGGTATATAAAATTAAAAAGCATGTGTTTGTTCAGATTAAACTGGAGACCCTTCTGTGTGTTAAACAGATGTGATAACCAACTACACCACAAGGACTTGTTTTTTTACTTCATACTTTATTTAAAAGTAAATTAAAAGGAAAAGTAAGAGGTAAGTGCAGAATACAGTTGATTCAGCTGAGGGTAAAGAACCAGGAAGTTGTGCCAATAGTTTCATAGCAACACTAATCATTGCTGGTTGGCGATTGCTATTGGTAGCCATATTTCTAACATTGGCGGGCTTACAGGCCATATAATCTTTAGTTAAATTATTACTTCATCACATGCAATGAGCGATCTGACAGGAAAAGCCAAACGTGTGGCTTTATAATACTTGGCGATTATGCGCAAAAATCTTGAGATCTGTTGGAGCTGATTGGAAATAATCCAAATGGTCTTTAATACCAAACCTCTGTGATGGGGGTGCTCATTGCTCAAAACCTTGGCAACGAGCACACAGTGAATTACCCATACACAATAATGGTAAATGAAGGCTTTTAGTTGGATTGGGGCTGTTCTCACGGTTTTCTGCAAAAATAGGTCTTGTATTGGATGCATTTCCATTAGTAATTATTATCTAAGAGAATGTATTGCATAATGGACCAATCTTTTTTGAACATGGCACTTTTATAGTATTAGTGGCTGATATCTACTTCTGGTTTAACCCATACAGGACATTCCTTGTGTGAGTAGTCCAGTCTGCTATGCTTACCAGATTTAATCATGCAATGTAGGATCTGACAGATGACCAATTGTTGTATTGCCTTTACTAGTCAGAAGTTGATGCTTGAAATTAACTCCTTTGTTTGGTAGTTGATATCATGGCCTTTGGCTGCCCAGTCATTCAGAATTTAAGGTCAAACAGGTGGGTTGCATCTGGGTTTTGGAAGCGGATTCCCATATTCAATTTGGGGTCAATTTGTAACAAATTTTTGTTTGTCTTAGCAGCATATTTGTGGGCGATTTGATTGCGCTCCTCTCAGTATGTTATAGAAATCATTACAGAATTATGAGCCTCAACATCACCGTGGATTTGGTCAGCATCCTAATCTAATAGTTTGGATGACCAGCAGCCCAGCCGCACTGCCCAATTGAACAGTCATCAGTAATGTGGGGCGCCTTTTTTGGGGGGGCATTCACAGGTGGTCCGCCATCCATTTGTGCAATGATCATGAGGAGATTGGCTCCTGCAGGCCCTGGACTCTAGCCCAGTTCACATTTATGATAGTGTCGAGCAGCACATATGCATCTGTGTTAACCTAAGGAATAATTTAGCCTAAATCTGCCAAGCGTGAGATTCAAAATCCAGAAGGCCCATGCCCCCTTTGCTCTTCAGTTTAAACAGTATCTATAGGGCTATTGGCACTGCTTTTTCCTTGAACCATAAAAAGGTGCAGAGCATTGTATTGGTATTCTATAGGTTTGGGATTATTGGCAGTACGTGGGAAACATACCATATCTTGGAGAAGACGAATATGTTGACAGCCAACTCTTTCTCCTTAAGGCATAGTCTTGCTAATTACTAGCATGCTATTTAGGCTGACAGACTCAATAGTACCTCTTGTTCTGTTTTCAGTATTGCTGGCCCTTTATCGTTAAAGAGTACCCTGAGGTATCAGACCATCTGCAAGCTCTGAATCAGCGTTGTGCTGTCAGTGGGCTGAATTTTAGGATGCTGATCCTCATTACTAAGGTTATATAGGTTGATCTTCACATTTAATGCTAACTGGTATAGGTTCATAGGTTCCTTATTGCCCTGAAGGTTGGTCAGTGAACTAACACACACTATTGTATTGTCAGTGAAGGATAACATTTTCAATGGCATTTAGTTAGGGTGGACTAGGACCCATAATTTCATGTCTGCTGCAGCCAATAAAACGTTCACTGCAAAGTTAAATAGAGTTGGTGAAATGGGATTATCTTATTAGAGACCCTGCCCAACCAGGATATTGTTAGTTATGTTGTTGGTGATGATTACTCTGGTGATCAGGCCCAAGTACAGCATTGATATCATGATCTAAAAGATTTTGAAATACCCACCACCTTTAGTGCCATGCGTAGGAAGGACCACACTACCCAATCATAGACTTTTTACATGTTGAGGAACATGCAATAGCCCTGATCGGTTCCCTGCATGTCCTGGAGCACATTTTGGACTGCACCAATGCTGTCCCAGATGCTTTAGCCCTTGATAAACCTGTTTTGGGCCTTATGCAGCATATATGGTGCTGTTGCCATTAGCTGATTCAATAGGATGCGCATGAGCAGCTTATAGTTAGCTCTGGATAGAGCGATTGAGTGCCAGTTCTGGAGTTAGCGTTGGAGTCCCTTTTTGTACAAGAGTACAATTTGGGTCTCCTGGCCTTCCAGGGTTTGTTGTCCATTTTGCAGGCAGTAGCTGAATAATATTTGAGCTTTGGCACAATGCGGTTGCAGAATGCGCTGTAAACTTCTGATGCACATGTTATTGGGATCCAGTGCTTTTATCCTCAACGATTCTTTTAGTGCTTATTTGACTTCATCAATCAAGATGTCAGTGGACAAGCTATTGACATCTTCCAGTGTAAGGCTCTGAGTGCCAGCTTGGCCAGGCCAATCAGGGCTTCTGTTGCCATATTGCTCATCTCTCATTGGTGGAATAGCTTACCATAGAATTGTTAATTTTGTGCTTGTCTGTTTCCAGATCCATTGTTACTTTCCCTTTTGTCATCTCTACCTCACATATCCTAGCCTTAGTTCAGATTTCATTGAGGTGCACCAAGCCTTCTTTGGTCATTGTCCTCACTGAGCTCTGGTATTAATAGGTAGTATTAATCCATCATTCTAAGTCTTGTTTTCTACTAAGGCCCAATATTATTTATAAGTTGTTTGGTTTTGCTTAACCATTATTTGCTGTTCTGCCGGGCAAGTTTTAAACTATCCAGTGCATTTTTACGTTGCTTCCAGCAGCAGTTAGCTTATAGATAGTTGCTTTCTTGAACTTCATGCTATTATTACTAATTTTCTCTTTAATATGGACCTATATTTCCAGAGGATCTATCTCTAGGTGTCAATACAGATATGTGACCAGTCAATCAAGGCCCACTTTTAAGTCTAGCGCCACTCCCCATCCCTCAGAGTGGATGGTGCCAAGTACCATTCCCAGTTCCTCAGGGGTTCATCCAAATCAAATTTCACATGGACAATCATGTGGTTGCTCATGGCATTTATACTGACCTTGCTGTTGGACATCAGCAGCTTAAGATTGGATGACACCAGTATGTAATCCAGGAGTAAACCAGACTGTGGGGATCTTGCAGAGTCATATGACCATCACATTAGGTTGATTAGATCGTCATCCTCCTCATTGATTGTGAGGCACATCCTCAATTTGACTAGGAATTCTAGAATCTCATTGGCCTTTTGATTGGGACTTTCACTTGTTGGGAATGTATCCTAACTTGCATTCATCTAATAGTTCAGGTCTCCTGCTATAAATATTGTCACTTTAGTTAGTACTTCTGATAGAATTTCCAAAAAATTTGGTTTTTGCAGGGCTTTGGTGAAGTTTAGACAGCCAACACATGAAGGCTCTTGCCAGTTTCCTTATTTGTAGTGGTCACTGTTAAGATCCTTCCAGCATGAGTTTCCTCTATGAATACCAGGTCTATTATCTTGTTCAGTGTGACAATTTTTACATGATCCATCCAGAGGGCTTGACAGCCTATTTGGTGGGACCACGGGTGTTCATCAAATTGCAGTTCAAGCTTTGCACCATCTCCTTTTGGTTAACTGCTTGTGCTTACAATATTAAAATTAGGTCTATATTATTATTTGTTTTGAAGTGGTAAATCTTCTGCCTTCTCATTTATATGCTCAGCATCCCCCAAGCATTTGTAGTCATAATCTTCATTTCCAGCTTCCCGACCTACAGGTATGAGGTTTGGTATTATTTTCTGGGTTGTGTATGGAAGTCGCAGATAGAGGTTTGATTACTGGTGGATGGTGTTGTTTAGGGTGGGCGGGGGTATTGTTCAGATTTTGGGGTCAGTTGGTTAGTACTAGTATAATATTACTGGGCATTTTGTGCATCGGAAATTCAGTTGCAATCCCCATCTCCCTATTGATGAATAATAAGGACAGTTTCATTAACAGCTCTGGGTGCACCTTGTCCCTACTGGTGGTGCAGAAGATTCCCCCTCACCTGTTAAACTGTTTCCCGCCCATTCATTAGATTTTTAGGAAGAACTAGACTTTTTTGTCAGGAATATTGGCTGACTTTGCCAATTTTTTCACTTTAGTTGTTTGTTTGGTAGTATCCTCAGGCTTATTCATTGACAATTTCTCAGTTGATTTCTTGTTCAATTTTGACTTTTTGGGCTTTATTTTTGATGTATTGGCTTCTTGCACTGACCATTTCTTCTTAGGTGATTTTTTTGGATTCACCTTCTGTCGTCATTCTTTCCATATAATCCATTCCACTTGGGATGGGCATAGCACAATTGGTTCAGGGCTCGTTCCTTTGTCCATTTTGTATGCTTCATGATTTAATTTCATGAATGTCTTATTATCTGCTTTGGGTTGTTTGGCCGTTTTTACTCCCACACTTCCCTATGAGCAAAGTCCAACTCCTGTTGTTGGCACTTTATATCTGCGACCTCCATTAGGGTACATGGAATCTATTTCTTGGCCTTTTGTCAAAGGAAGGTTTTTGTCCTAACATTCTTGACCACACTGATGGGATCATAAACATACTTGAAAGGGGTCTTCTCTTTTGATGGTGGCATTGGGCCTCTATGTGGCCAGTCTGGTAGCAGAACTAGCACACTTGTTTTGCATCCTCTTGTTCAGCATATATGACTCTACTTAGGCTGGGCAGGCGGATGAAATGTGGTATGGCAATATTGTTCAGTTTCAATCATGGCACTGGTATGTAAAACGCTTTGACAGTTTGGGGTGAAGGCACTTTGTGATATAATTACCACCAGCTTGCAAAATTCTCATACCTCTCCATAATACAATAGTATAGTCTGAATTGCTTCATGCACCCATTCCCTCTCTTAATTGGTCAGGAGATTT